TATATATATATAGTAATTACAACCATTTCTTTTCTTTTAGTGAATAAGAAACAAATTCTGATTTTAAAATTTTGTTTCTAGAATTAAAATCGTTAAACAACCAATTTAATTATGATCAATGTTGTATTATATGTAACTGCCAGTTAACTAAAGTATGTCATTTAAATCACAATATTTAATACAAGGTAAAGAATGTAACTTTCTTTTAAATTTATATCATGACTGTGTATATGTGCGTGCGTGTATGTATAAGTCAAATAAATTACATTCCGTTACTGTTTTAATTAAAAACTTTTCCTCCGCAAGCGAAAACACTTTAAACATCGTTCGCAAAATGAATCGTGTAAAACGCAAACTATTCTTTTATTTTATCACGACGATTTGCGTTTAAATTCTATCTGCGCAAACTATTCCTTACATTGAATGTATTGTTTAGAAGAAAATTACCTTTGTTCAATATTCACTCGAAGATCATAAATTAAGCGTGCTAATTATTCGACTCTGTAGAAATTGAGGTAAAAACCTTTTGCACAACTTTTTCCAATGTATTTGCCACATTACTTTGAAGTGGGTTTTCATTTAACAAGAGACAGACTAATCAAAGTGTCATTAACTTTTCTTTTAAGATGTATCGCAAATCTCTTTGCTGCAATTGTGCTGAGAAGACGCACACTATCTTCTCCTAATCTAAATATTCTTCATTATTCCGGTGACTCTACGTTCTACTGTGTTGTCCACAATGACTCTACTGCTGTCCACTATGTGATTATCTGAGGTCCAATCACGAGGGGCTCGTAAAGACACAGAATCTATCCCGACAGGACCAACTTCAGGTGGCATGCAAGAAAACAACTATCCCAGATGCAATTAAGCGGGCACAAATGGCCTCTATCATTACGCGCAGTTGAAGTATATTACGAGAAACTTCTCTTTCTGGTTGGGAAATAAAAAATAAGCATCTATATACCACAAATCTAAAATACTTCGAAATAAATCATAAAATTTCTAAAAAGAAAACTTATATTTCGAAAATATGAGCGCAAATTGTGAGTTACTTCTTTTTATGTTGTCTACATATAATAATGAAGTCATTTGTCAACAATTTTTGCACCAATAATAATTAAAAATATAAAAAATAAATATTAAGATTATTAAGTAGATATAATATAAATTATTAACTCACCTTTCACCTTCATGAAAGCCCTCAAATTCTTCCTGTTGCTCATTGATGGATGCTTCAAGGTCCAGATAAGCACCATAATCGCCGCCCTTGTACAACTGGAGCGCCGTGTCATCGAGCTGCAACATAGGTAGCAAGATGCGTTGAAAAACATGTCTGTTTTGCGTGCACGCGGCCGGCCGCGGAGGTAATCGCGCAAAATTATTACCGCGCCGATCGTTAGCCGGTTTTCGCATAACCACCGTTCATTTAAGAGCCGCATCCGCAGTGGAATAATGTCGGCAAAACTCTTCGATGAACTGCATGACGACTTTTATTGTAAGCACGCGCGAAATTTGTATCGACAAATGGAGGATTCTATATAGGTCTTCAAATTTTTTAATGGAAAAAGGAACGGTTAAAAAAATTTATCAAAACAATGAATGTTCCTCTTATAATAAATCGTTCAATTTAATTATACGATCAAGTTCAATGGATTTGTAAAGAATAAATAATTTCTTTCATTGAAAAATCAAGGCTTTCAGAAGAGTTCTAAATTCACGTGTAGAAGTATTATGGGTCAACAATCCAGACTAATTTGCTAAATTTATCTGTGGATCAATTGGTCCACATACAGCGTTCCTGTAAGCAAGAGATAATCGCTTGGTTTAGAATCAGGTGATTCCCGCCAAATGTAAACTCCCCCCCCTCCCCTCGCTTATATATAAAATTCTTCTTCTTAAAATATCAAAATTATATAAATATAATTTAAAGAAATAAATACACATAGTATATATATTTTTTATTATATAGGTACAAAAAATAAATGGCATAATAAACTTTTTGATTTTTTTCTAAAAATAATTGTAAAGGTTTAGATATAATATTTCCTGTTTTTTCATTCTTACAAAATATAAAAAAATAGAAGTAAAGATATAAGTTTTGACTTTGTTTAGCAGTGGACCCGTTTGTTTAATTAATTCTATCCTTTCCTAATCTCGTGTCATTGGAAATTTGCCATTCCATTATCTACACGCTCTTATCAAATAAAAATCACAGTAATGAAAAATGCTGAGTTTACAGAAGCAACAAGTTGGCTTATCCCGGGTTTTGAAGATGCGATGCGTGTCGCGCATGAAAAAACGAAGAATCGCATGATCGACAAGCTGTACTAGCGGAAGTCCGCGACCTGATTTTGATCAAATCAAATTCTTTACGGATTTCGAATTTCCTAGGTTACAATCCGCTATCGACCTTGTTAAATCTACCGTCACTATGAAAACTCGTAAAAAAATTTAACAGCCGGACGAACACAGCGGCCAACATAAATCCCACGTCTTCTCCTAATAGCTGAACGAGTCGAATCGACCGACGATAAATTGTAGAAGTAAGTAACCTCGATAAAAACGACGATTTCCGGTGCGTTCTTTTTTTAGGTCGCTTCCTTCTTTTATGAGATTAAGTACGTTAGGGACACGCATGTTTACGTAAAATAAGATGAAAGTGAGCAATATAGGAAAACAATAAATGTTCTAGATACCAGGGCTAAATCTATTTTTTCTGATATTTCTGATACAATGTTAGCCAAAGATCAACTTTATTGGTATAAAGAAATTCGATTTGTAAAGAAAATGGATTTATAGTTCGTATAATACATGTAATAATTATTTCAATATTTGTAAATACACATATATTTGTAAGAAAAAAATGAAATCATTTATTGTGACTCAATCATATTTTAAATAATTTAATTAAATTATATTTCAAATTATTTATTTATTGTATCACATGATTATTTATTGTATCGAATGAATGTCACTAATTAGCAAAAATTATATTAATTTTATTTATCATAAGTTAACAAAAGATTATAATAAATTTTTTTTAATTTCAAAAATTATTATTAGTGAACACATCTTGGTTGTCAATTTCGCTCAACGGTCAAATTTAATAAAACTCTAAAGAAATTCACATTTTTAGTTTTATTTAATTTGATAGTCGAGCAATTACGCTTAACTATCAATTACGACAACCAAGATTCATTAATAATCATTCCTAAAATTTAAAGAAAAATTGATTATAATCATATTTAACTTATAATATATTATAATAGATAAATCAATATCGTTCTCGCCAATTAATTCTGTAACACACATTCGGCTGTAGTGCATAACTAAATAATTTGAAATAAGATTTAATTATTTAGAATACGGTTGAGTCACAATTACGATTTCATTTTCTTCTAAATACTGTATGTTCTAAACTATTTACATTAAAATAAAGCAAAAATACACACAAAAAATGTTGTCTATGCAAACGTATTTAAATGTTCGTTGTGATAAAATGTAAATCCCACGTTGACATGCTTTACAGTAAATAAAGAACGGAAGAGAATCTTCATATTACTGTCCATGAAATCGCGACATCACTTTGGAAAAGCGACACGACGCGAATATGTTGTTGACCTATATTTCTAAAAATCTCAGCTTTAAAATAGTAACGTGGTCGGCGAAGCATCCTGTTAAACGTGGTGAGATGTCAGCAGTCGCCGCCTTACATTGCTCTATGCCCTACTCTGAAGCATACCGCATGCTGGGGAAACCACACACACATGCGGCCAATTGCGCAATACGTCCGATATCAGTTTCGAATGTGATCTTCGCCCTTTATGCAGCAGTTTATCAAAAGGATACGGTTTACCTTGATACTGTATATGCTTTGTGTGTTAAATGCCAATCGAAATTACAGAGCTATGAGTAAATTAATCTTTCATTACTGAACATTTATCTGATTAACTGTTTCAGTAGATGTAATTACTTCCTGTTTTCAAAGCAAAAGCCGATACTGATTTTAGAATTATGATAGTAAAATTAATGTACCTATATTCGTCATATTTTATTTCCTAATACCTCAAGAAAATAAATATTTTAAAAATATGATCCATCATATAAATAAAATGAGAAATAGAGCATTTGATATTTTATAATTAACATAAAAATAAAAATTTTTCACAATTACTATAAAAATGTACGTCATGCTTATGTAAATAACAATAAATGATTCAATAAATTTTCATACGCGAATGGTAATTGAAATTTTTCAATATCGATTTAGCAATTCACTGTACGAAATAATTTTTCTGTATCGTTAAAAAACTAAAAAATAAAATAGAAAATTATATTTTAACATTCAATAGGTCAATATTTTAAAATATCTGAGGTGCAATTCAAATAATAAAATTAAATTAAAAATATAAAAAAATAGTATTTTTTAAATAACATTTTCACTCATAATTTGATTTCTTTCCTAGTGAATTGCAATAAATATGACAAATAAATATTTATATGAAAACTTTATATGAAACGCGATTTTTTTATCTTCAGTAAGCAGTAATCGAGCAGTATGTTGATATAACAGTTCAAGTAGCATGTAAACGTCATCCTTCCACTATATCAGATCGGGCTTCCCTTTTCTCCGAATGTATTTTCATGGACATTCTCGTTGCGACGTTCTCGTCCCGTAGGACTTTCCCCTATGTGCCTGTAGGATCACTTTGTTTGCCCGAAGCCCATCGAGTAAATCACAAATTCCCTGTTGTCGTTCGTCTCTCCTCTCCAAGTTTCTATCGGTAGCGAATCTCCTTAGTGAATACATAACTGAGAGAGAAACGCTGATTATATGAGCTTGTGAATCTCGCTTGTCAAAAGAGATTTAGAAGTATTTGTCTGCACTGAACTGATTACAAGCGGAAAATACCAAATATCAGAGACAAACATAATTTAATTAAAAATGCAATATTTTTTAATTGTAGATATATTCATCTCATAGTAAATCTTATTGCAAAATTATTTATAAATTTTTATTTTATAATTTTACAGAAAGTTTAATGATTTAGAAAATTATTAAAGCTACTCATTAAAACAAAGCGTAATTTAACAGATAATTCATATAACGGATTTAATTCAATACTTTTATGCAATATTTAATACCTGATTAATCTGATTGTTTAAAAAAGCAGAATTATACTGTAGGATAAGCAATTTTAAAATTAAATAATCGGCGATCTATAATTTTTTATAATCACTGTATAAAGTCGACTTTTAAGAGAGACAATATGTAAATAGGAAAGTACTGCTATTTATTGTGGGAATAATTAAAATATATTAACATAATGTATTTATCCAATATAAAGTGCAGTCATGAGAACTCAAGGCATCCTTATTAATTAATATAATTAAATCTAAAAATAGATTTTAAGAATATGTTGGAAATATCACGAGGTAAGAATAACGAAATCTGAGAAGCCGCGAGACAATTAACTGCAACGCTATTCGTGTTCTGACGGAGTCGTTCTGCTCGACTGTGCGAAACTTTCACGACTATCTTCCTTTTTTCTCTTTATATTGCACGCCTCAAGAATAAATTCATGCAAATTTATTCGCGTAAAGACAAGTTAAAGAAGCAGTTCAAAATAAGTTTAAAATAAAATATTGACATACGTCAACTCTGAACGAGCGTCTTACAAAATACTTTACAGCTGACGGATACATTTTGGCGCTTTATTTGCAAAATTTCGATAAAAAATCGGGAACACTTCAGTATTCATTTTTCTCGTAATTTCTAATTTTAAAATAAAGTTCATATAATCAGAAATATTTAGTACAAAAAGCTCTTAGCTATAACACGATATAATAAATAATTTCAATTTAATTCATTTTACATCAGTATAATTAATTTATATCTTTATTCTCATTTTGAGATTCATCAAATTTCAGATAAATTTCTAGAGTAAATGATAATGTAACCGTATATACTTTTTTCTTTTCGCTCTTTAATGTGACTCTTATTTTTTTCAAATTCATCCACATTTTATACTTCAAAATAATTTATAATCATAATTTTGAAAAAATTTTTATCTTTCTCCTCTTTGATTTTTAAGAAAATTTATACGATAAATAATCTTAGAATGTCGTGAATTGTTATTTATCGAGTGTAAGAATAGTGTGAACGAAGTCACTGACGAGCATTGTTACATCTTTTAGAAACCTGACAATCGCGATATAACCGGTCGTACTAACAGCGCTTGTCCCTATCTTTCCTTTCCTTCCGCGATTACAGATGATTATAGGCCACTGCATTT